GAGAGAGAGAGAGAGAGAGAGAGAGAGAGAAAGAGAGATTTCAACTATAATATAACATGACAACTTGCCAGAGAGGGCACTGCTAGGGTTGACAACTTGCCAGGGAGGGCACTGCTAGGGTTGACAACTTGCCAGGGAGGGCACTGCTAGGGTTGACAACTTGCCAGGGAGGGCACTGCTAGGGTTGACAACTTGCCAAGGGAGGACACTGCTAGGGTTAGCATGAGTTTGCTTATTGTGTTTAGAAAATGGTGACACTTGATTTCCAACATTTCTTAAGTTCATTTTACTTTATTTTTAAAATTTTTATTTTGTGGTGCATCTGATTCCCATTTTTGTTTTTGTGGTGCATGGATAATTATGGACTGTTTGTTTTCATTTTCTTCTTTGTCCACTTGGCTTACAGGTTTGATCTCACCTAGTACTGTATTATTTGTTTAGTGGTGTCCTACATTTGACTTCTAAATATTTGATATCATTTATGCCAAAACTTTGAGCTGACTCTCTCTTTCTCTCATTTAAAAAAAAAAAAAAAAATTCAAATTTAGACATTTGTGTTGACATGCTGTTTTATGATGGTCATCGCTACAGCATGGGTGTCATATTTGTGGATGTTTCTTACTGTTTTTGTGTGTGTGTGTCTCAAAAAGAAAGCATGCTGCACAGACTGTTGTGTGTAAATCTGAAGTCATCATTATTATCATCATCATTGTCATCTTCATCATCAGCAGTGCCAAGCAGCACAGGAGGTGACACTGTCTCTCCACAGACATGTAACCTCTGTGCTCTTGTTAGTTTAACCCATCATTATCACACGTGTCGCTGCCAGCCCATGATCTCTTTCACTACCAGATAGTTGTTACGGCTAGAGCTGTGTCATTTAGAGCACCAGACAGACATGACAATAATGGTAATAGTGGGGTACACAAGGGTAATATGATAGCGGGGTCGAATGAGTTAAAGTTGCAGAAGAAGGGGACAGAAGTTGAGAATTGTTGTCTAAAGATTAGTTAGGTAATAGATATATGGTGCTTTGTCTGATAGTGAAAGAGTAAGCCCGTCTCTCTCTCTCTCTCTCTCTCTCTCTCTCTCTCTCTCTCTCTCTCTCTCTCTCTCTCTCTCTCTCTCTCTCTCTCTCTCTCTTTCTCTCTCTCTCTCTCTCTCTCTCTATCACACACACAGATGCATACACACATTCTCTCTCTCTTTCTTTCCTTCTCTGGCTGTGAACTTTTTGAGTGTCAAAACATGCCTCAGACATTGAAATGGAACAGTAAAAACATCACAGACATAAAATTATTACATCTTTGAAGTGAATAGTTAACATTGTTTGTTTCCAGCATGTGTGGGTTCCTAGCATGTTCAGGTTCACCGCATGGGTGTCTCCTGTGTGGCTGTTTCTTTTCATTATTTTTTTGTTTTGTTTTCCATAAAGTGAAACATTCACCAAGGATTGTTAAACTTAAAACACAGTAACATGTAAAAAATTTAATAAACATTGTATTGTTTGCTGTTCAGTGAATATGTTTTAACTGTGTCTTACAAGTTCTCCCAAAAATCTCCATTCTGGTCATTTCCGTACATATAAAATAGTAAATATAGCGTTGTTTCTGCAATCACCATTTTCACATCTACAAACTCTGGCACTAAACCTTGAATAAGAAATGTATGAAAGGTTACGAGAAGAATATGGAAACAGTTTTAATATATGTTGAGTCCAGGACAAGGTACACAACATGTTTAGAGATGCCCTTTAACAGAGGTATGCTAAACATATTGTTGGATGGTGGAAACCAGTTATTGAATATTTATAAAAAAAGTCTACCCCCCCCCCCCCCCCCAAAAAAAAAAACAAAAAAACATGACATCTTAAACAGCAAAAAAGCAGCTGTTGCTGTGTGGTAACATTGAGAGAAGGGATGACTGAGCCGGCTGTGACAGTTGGAGAGAAGGGATAACTGGAGTCTGCTGTGACAGTTGGAGAGAAGGGATGACTGGAGCCTGCTGTGACAGTTGGAGAGATGGGATAACTGGAGTTTGCTGTGACAGTTGGAGAGAAGGGATGACTGGAGTCTGCTGTGACAGTTGGAGAGAAGGGATGACTGAGCCGGCTGTGACAGTTGGAGAGAAGGGATGACTGGAGTCTGCTGTGGCAGTTGGACAGAAGGGATGACTGGAGTCTGCTGTGACAGTTGGAGAGAAGGGATGACTGAGCCGGCTGTGACAGTTGGAGAGAAGGGATAACTGGAGTCTGCTGTGACAGTTGGAGAGAAGGGATGACTGGAGCCTGCTGTGACAGTTGGAGAGATGGGATAACTGGAGTCTGCTGTGACAGTTGGAGAGAAGGGATGACTGGAGTCTGCTGTGACAGTTGGAGAGAAGGGATAACTGGAGTCTGCTGTGACAGTTGGAGAGAAGGGATAACTGGAGTCTGCTGTGACAGTTGGAGAGCAAGGATGACTGGAGTCTGCTGTGACAGTTGGAGAGAAGGGATAACTGGAGTCTGCTGTGACAGTTGGAGAGCAAGGATAACTGGAGTCTGCTGTGGCAGTTGGAGAGAAGGGATGACTGGAGTCTGCTGTGGCAGTTGGAGAGAAGGGATGACTGGAGTCTGCTGTGACAGTTGGAGAGAAGGGATGACTGAGTCAGCTGTGACAGTTGGAGAGATGGGATGACTGAGTCAGCTGTGGCAGTTGGACAGAACGGATGACTGAGCCGGCTGTGACAGTTGGAGAGAAGGGATGACTGGAGTCTGCTGTGGCAGTTGGAGAGATGGGATAACTGGAGTTTGCTGTGACAGTTGGAGAGAAGGGATAACTGGAGTCTGCTGTGACAGTTGGAGAGAAGAAATGACTGGAGCCAGCTGTGACAGTTGGAGAGAAGAAATGACTGGAGCCAGCTGTGACAGTCGGAGAGAAAGGATGACTGGAGTTGGCTGTGACATTTGGAGAGAAGGGATAACTGGAGCCAGCTGTGACAGTCGAAGAGAAGGGATGACTGGTGAATATGAAGAAGAAGATGCAAATGTCTAGCTTTCTAGTGCCATGTTACAATTGATTAGCTTGTGTGTTATTGTAGTCACAGGCTGCTTGTAGGCAGAGAGCTTCTCAGTTGTTGCAGGGACAGTTGATGTAGGGACAGTTGATGCAGGGACAGTTGATGCAGGGACAGTTGATGTAGGGACAGTTGATGCAGGGACAGTTGATCTCCATCACTATAGCTGGATGTAGTTCTAGTGTTTGGTTGACATTTTATTCAACAGCGCTTTAATTCATTTAAGACAAGTTGCTTAAATATGAATGATTAATGTGTGCCAGGAGCAAGGTAAGTCAATGTACATTTATATATTGATGACAAGACATGTTTGGCTCTGCATATTTCCATGGTTTTGCATATATTGTAGTTTCCAGCAGCCTAGTGACTGATTTGCCTTCGTGGTTGGACAAAATGTTCTTTTCTGCCTAACACATTTATTGCATCTAACATATTACCCAAGTAATTATTTCTGTATGACTTCACTGGCTTTTAAACACTTTTTCTTTCCAATTTCTCATACACCCTGCTCTTGTTTGAGCTTGGAGAGGGAACAGAGAGCTCTTTAATACAGTCCCTGTGGAGACCATACATTGGTACTGGGTTCTCCACACCAGATTCAGTCCAAGAGATACAAGCTGTGTCCAGGATTCAGGTGACCCCAATGCCCAGTGCACCTGGTTTCTGGGTTACAGCTTTGGCTTTCAGAGGAGTTACCATCCAACCCCCTCACCCACCCATGTTCTCCCACTCAGCCACCCACCTGGTCCCACTCAGCCACCCACCTGGTCCCACTCAGCCATCCACCTAGTACCACTTAGCCACTCACCTGGTCCCACTTAGCCACTCACCTGGTCCCACTCAGCCACTCACCTGGTCCCACTTAGCCACCCACCTGGTCCCACTCAGCCACCCACCTGGTCCCACTCAGCCACCCACCTGGTCCCACTCAACCACCCACCTAGTACGCATTCACTAGCCAAGCAAGCAAACCATTTGTTCCCTGCCCCCAGGGAATGTATTTGGGAACCTCACCATGTTTTCTTCTGTTTATTGTATGTGTGTGTGTGTGTGTGTGTGTTGTGTGTTCATGCATGCACGTGCACATTTGTGCGTGTGCAGTTGTAAAGATTACAGTATGTAGCATAGCTACATGTGCACATGTGTGAGAGACAGAGAGAGAGAGAGAGAGATATTATATTAATTATAAAATAGTTCACTGCGTACAGTAAGTTGATAAATTTTGCAGTTATTTAGTCATTTTTTTCTTTTTCTTTTTTGTGCCTTTCTTAAAGTATCTTATCTAAAGTTAATTATAGTTTTTAATTTTCATCATTTAAGATTATTTTAGTTATTAAATGTATCTATCAAGCATTAGTGAAGACACCTGTGAATGGGATGTGTGATATAATTCTTGTTCTCATCAATTACAAACCTGGTAGATGTGAAATGTTGTGTATACAGTGTTATATATGTTGTATGCTGTTGTAAAGATTACAGTAGCATAGATACATAAGTAGATAAGTACTGGCACTCATAAAGATTTGAACAGGAAAGAAGACTGGTTCATAAACATTATTGTGTCTGGAAGATTAAGAGTGATTGAAGGAAGAGAAATTGAAGGCGTGGTTCCTAGAAACAGAAACATGAGCCACACAACATGGAAGTCAACACAGGACATAACAGATACCTGTGCATGAAAGAGGCAGTCAGTCTGGTGACACATTAAGTAAGCCTTTTTACAGTGGGTGGTGTTGATGGAGGTGTCCTACAAATGACCAGGCCCCACGGTGCTGGATGTGTGTATATTCTTATGGTAGCTTGTAGACCAAGTCTTCTACCCTGTGAGGGATGTTCATGTGTTCTTGTGTGTTGTGTGAACCGCCATGTGGTATACCTTGTTGATGATGTCTGCTGTGCCATAGGACATGTCCTCAAGCTGCCATCTTCCTCTGCTCCACTCTCAGATCTGCTCATTGACATGCTGGGAGTGCTGGCCAGTTACAGCATCACGGTCAAGGAGCTCAAGGACATGTTTGCTCTCTTGAAGGCTCGCAGTGGTGTCTGGGTGAGTACCTAGGCCTTGAAGGCTCGTAATGGTATCTGGGTGAGTACCTGGGTCTTGAAGGCTCGCAGTGGTGTCTGGGTGAGTACCTGGGCCTTGAAGGCTCGTAATGGTATCTGGGTGAGTACCTGGGTCTTAAAGGCTCGCAGTGGTGTCTGGGTGAGTACCTGGGTCTTAAAGGCTCGCAGTGGTGTCTGGGTGAGTACCTGGGCCTTGAAGGCTCGCAGTGGTGTCTGGGTGAGTACCTGGGCCTTGAAGGCTCGCAGTGGTGTCTGGGTGAGTACCTGATTCTTAAAGGCTCGCAGTCGTGTCTGGGTGAGTACCTGGGACTTGAAGGCTCGAAATGGTATCTGGGTAAGTACCTGGGTCTTAAAGGCTCGCAGTGGTGTCTGGGTAGGTACTTGGGTCTAGAAGGCTCGTACTGCGGTCTGGGTGAGTACCTGGGTCTTGAAGGCTCGCATTGTGGTCTGGGTGAGTACCTGGCCTTGAAGGCTCACATTGTGGTCTGGGTGAGTACCTGGGTCTTAAAGGCTCGCAGTGGTGTCTGGGTAAGTACTTGGGTCTTGAAGGCTCGCAATGGTATCTGGGTGAGTACCTGGGTCTTGAAGGCTCGTTATGGTATCTGGGTGAGTACCTGGGCCTTGAAGGCTCGCATTGCGGTCTGGGTGAGTACTTGGGTCTTGAAGGTTCCCAATGGTGTCTGGGTAGGTACTTGGGTCTAGAAGACTCGCACTGCGGTCTGGGTGAGTACCTGGGCCTTGAAGGCTCGCATTGTTGTCTGGGTGAGTACCTGGGTCTTGAAGGCTCGCATTGCAATCTGGGTAAGTACCTGGGTCTTGAAGGCTCGCAATGGTGTCTGCGTGAGTACCTGGGTCTTGAAGGCTCATAATGGTGTCTGGGTGAGTACTTGGGTCTTGAAGGCTCGTAATGGTGTCTGGGTGAGTACCTGGGTCTTGAAAGCTCGCAATTGTGTCTGGGTCTTGGAGGGTCACGATGGTGTGTCAGTGAGTACCTGGGGCATGTTTGAGTTAGTGAGGGTCTCTCTGGAAAGCCCTCAATGGTGTGTCAGTGAGTACCTGGGTCTTGGAGACTCGCAGTGGTGCGTCAGTGAGTACCTGGGTCTTGGAGGCTCGCAGTGGTGTGTCAAAAAGTAGCTGGGGCATGTTTGAGTGAGCGAGGGTCTCTCTGGAAGGCCTACAATGGTGTGTCAGTGAGTACCTGGGTCTTGGAGGCTCGCAGTGGTGCGTCAGTGAGTACCTGGGTCTTGGAGGCTCGCAGTGGTGCGTCAGTGAGTACCTGGGTCTTGGAGGCTCGCAGTGGTGTGTCAGTGAGTACCTCGGTGATGTTTGGGTGGGTTTTGGTCTCAAAGGCTCATATATTTGGATGGGCTGGGGTTGCCTTGTGAGGGCCCACAATAGTATGTGGATAAATAGCTGTCAGAAATTGGATGGGTTTGGTTGCACTGTTAAAGACTCATATGGTATGTGGATTTAAAGACGTCGGAAATTTGTGGGATTTGGTAGCACTGTTAAAGACCCACAATAGTGTGTGGGTCAGTAAATGTGGGATTCTTGTGGCGAGGGGAATTTATGCCAAGTCCACTTGTGTTATATTCAGTCTGATCATCAACCTCACCACCATCCATCCTGCCTGATGACACAGAATCTTTGCAACCATGGAGGCATCTTCTTTTTACTTCATTTATCATTTCACTGATAGCAACTTGTATCGCATGCCGCAGCTCTGAAGCAACGAGGTTAATTTATCACTGTACCCTCATGAAGGCATCAAGTACAGTAAAACAGTAAACTGTTTAACAAACGGGTTCAGAAACCTAGTGTGTGTGCAACTGGTAGCCTGGTTCTATAGAGAACCTTAGCTACAAAAGACCAGTCCATGCAGAGCCTGGTATGTGTGAGAATGGCTGCCTGGTTCTATAAAAAACCTGAACTAGTCTACAGAGAGCCTGGTATGTGTTTGTCAAAGGCCATTCATCTGTTGAGAGTTGACAGGAAGAAGAAGCTCTTGTATTTTGTAAAACTATTCACAAAACATGTTTCTCCAAGGGAATGATGGCTAGTATATTTGTTATGGGGACCTGTCTTTCAGCAACGCCACTCAACAAAGCTGATCTCAGTGCTGCGACACATGCCCCAGAGACAAGGGCCTGACGAATTCTTTAGCTTTCCTGGCAAGAAAGGATCGGTAAGACATTTCACTTTTTCTCTGTAATGTTTAGGTAGGTCTGAAACCTAATGTAATTTCCTGCTGGGGAAGTAAACTGGTCACTCTGCCTGCTAAATCTGCAAGTAAATAAACTATACAACACATCCCTGCAATATTATCTGCTCTCTCTCCTGACACATTTCTCATGTGCAGATCTGACATGTCAGTGATAGCTGTGTGGACAGTACACATGTCAGTGGTAGCTGTGTGGACAGTATACATGTCAGTGGTAGCTGTGTGGACAGTACACATGTCAGTGATAGCTGTGTGGACAGTACACATGTCAGTGGTAGCTGTGTGGACAGTACAAATGTCAGTGATAGCTGTGTGGACAGTACACATGTCAGTGGTAGCTGTGTGGACAGTACACATGTCAGTGGTAGCTGTGTGGACAGTACACATGTCAGTGGTAGCTGTGTGGACAGTACACATGTCAGTGGTAGCTGTGTGGACAGTACACATGTCAGTGGTAGCTGTGTGGACAGTACACATGTCAGTGGTAGCTGTGTGGACAGTACACATGTCAGTGATAGCTGTGTGGACAGCACACATGTCAGTGGTAGCTGTGTGGACAGTACACATGTCAGTGGTAGCTGTGTGGACAGTACACATGTCAGTGGTAGCTGTGTGGACAGCACACATGTCAGTGGTAGCTGTGTGGACAGTATACATGTCAGTGGTAGCTGTGTGGACAGTATACATGTCAGTGGTAGCTGTGTGGACAGTATACATGTCAGTGGTAGCTGTGTGGACAGTACACATGTCAGTGGTAGCTGTGTGGCCAGCACACATGTCAGTGGTAGCTGTGTGGACAGTACACATGTCAGTGGTAGCTGTGTGGACAGTACACATGTCAGTGGTAGCTGTGTGGACAGTACACATGTCAGTGGTAGCTGTGTGGACAGTACACATGTCAGTGGTAGCTGTGTGGACAGCACACATGTCAGTGGTAGCTGTGTGGACAGTACACATGTCAGTGGTAGCTGTGTGGCCAGCACACATGTCAGTGGTAGCTGTGTGGACAGTACACATGTCAGTGGTAGCTGTGTGGCCAGCACACATGTCAGTGGTAGCTGTGTGGACAGTACACATGTCAGTGGTAGCTGTGTGGCCAGCACACATGTCAGTGGTAGCTGTGTGGACAGTACACATGTCAGTGGTAGCTGTGTGGCCAGCACACATGTCAGTGGTAGCTGTGTGGCCAGCACAAGTACACATGTCAGTGGTAGCTGTGTGGCCATGTCAGTGGTAAGTGGCCACATGTCAGTGGTAGCTGTGTGGCCAGCACAAGTACACATGTCAGTGGTAGCTGTGTGGCCAGCACAAGTACACATGTCAGTGGTAGCTGTGTGGCCAGCACACATGTCAGTGGTAGCTGTGTGGCCAGCACAAGAACACATGTCAGTGGTAGCTGTGTGGGCAGCACAAGAACACATGTCAGTGGTAGCTGTGTGGGCAGCACAAGAACACATGTCAGTGGTAGCTGTGTGAGCAGCACAAGTACACATGTCAGTGGTAGCTGTGTGGGCAGCACAAGAACACATGTCAGTGGTAGCTGTGTGGGCAGCACAAGAACACATGTCATTGGTAGCTGTGAGGCCAGCACACTTGTCATTGGTAAGCTGTGTGGCCAGCACACATGTCACTGGTAGCTGTGTGGCCAGCACACTTGTCAGATGATTAAGTGTGATTGTGTCACTCTTAGGGAGAGCATTTTTACAACATACATCAGGAATTTCAGTTGGACCTAGTATAAGATATGCCCTGGGAAGTAAAAACATCTAGTGTGATATTGAACACATCACCAGACATGTGTGCTCTGGGAAGTAAAAACATCTAGTGTGATATTGAACACATCACCAGACATGTGTGCTCTAGGAAGTATAAACATCTAGTGTGATACTGAACACATCACCAGACATGTGTGCTCTAGGAAGTAAAAACATCTAGTGTGATATTGAACACATCACCAGACATGTGTTTTTTTTCCTCTCCTTTGTCTCTTTTCCTCCCATTAGCTATAAACAAGTTTTCAGCACCACCATGTGTGCACATGCACACATGCACGCACATGCACCAGCACCCATGTGTGCACATGCACACCCCCCCCCCCCCCCCCCCCCCCCCCATCCCCTTTTCTGTTTTTCTAGTCCTTCTTTTCTTTCAGACTATTTCTGTTTCTCCAGTATGTAGCATATTCACATCAAAAGTAAATAAATCCAGCCAGTTATTATGTAGTCAGTATTCCAGACTTGACTGTGGAGAGGTGGCCCCATAAATGGCCCTGTTTCTGTGCCACTGGAAATCAGACAAAGTTTTCTCACTGTCCCATTTGAGAAACTAGTGAGAAACATATCAGTTCCATAAACATATTGAAGCTGGCCTATGCAGACTCCAAATACAGCCATCAACACTAACCGCCTTCCACCAGAATGGCATCTGACTGTTGAGAAAGCTGGCATGTGCTGGTAGGTATGGCCCCCTGTGTATATTTGTTATGCCATGCTTTCCTTGTAGTCGGTGACAGTTGATGTGATATTCTACACCAGTTTGTCCTTTCTGTCACCAGCACATCGCTCTGCCTCCGATCAAAACCTGGCCCTACCAGAATGGATGGACATTCTCCTGTTGGATCCGGCTGGACCCTGTCACTGGAGTCAATGTGGAGAGGGAGAAGCCTTACCTCTACTGGTGTGTATGATACCGACATCTGTTGGTTTGTAGATGGTACAGATGATTTTTACCTGCTCTCTGGTGTTATTGGTGCTCCAGTTGTACCTTTTACCTGCGCTCTGGTGTTATTGGTGCTCCAGAGCACCTTTTACCTGTGCTCTGGTGTTATTGGTGCTCCAGTTGTACCTTTAACCTGTGCTCTGGTGTTATTGGTGCTATAGTTGTACCTTTTACCTGTGCTCTGGTGTTATTGGTGCTCCAGTTGTACCTTTTACCTGTGCTCTGGTGTTATTGGTGCTCCAGTTGTACCTTTTACCTGTGCTCTGGTGTTATTGGTGCTCCTGTTGTTCCTTTTACCTGTGCTCTGTTGTACCTTTTACCTGTGCTCTAGTGTTATTGGTGCTCCAGTTGTACCTTTTACCTGTGCTCTGGTGTCATTGGTGCTCCAGTTGTACCTTTTACCTGTGCTCTGGTGTTATTGGTGCTCCAGTTGTACCTTTTACCTGTGCTCTGGTGTTATTGGTGCTCCAGAGCACCTTTTACCTGTGCTCTGGTGTTATTGGTGCTCCTGTTGTACCTTTTACCTGTGCTCTGTCGTACCTTTTACCTGTGCTCTGGTGTTATTGGTGCTCCTGTTGTACCTTTTACCTGTGCTCTGGTGTCATTGGTGCTCCAGTTGTACCTTTTACCTGTGCTCTGGTGTTATTGGTGCTCCAGTTGTACCTTTTACCTGTGCTCTGGTGTTATTGGTGCTCCAGAGCACCTTTTACCTGTGCTCTGGTGTTATTGGTGCTCCTGTTGTACCTTTTACCTGTGCTCTGTCGTACCTTTTACCTGTGCTCTGGTGTTATTGGTGCTCCTGTTGTACCTTTTACCTGTGCTCTGTCGTACCTTTTACCTGTGCTCTGGTGTTATTGGTGCTCCAGTTGTACCTTTTACCTGTGCTCTGGTGTTATTGGTGCTCTAGTTGTACCTTCCTTGGGGGTTGAACAGGTCGCCTGAGATTTGCCTTGTTGATTTGCTTTCTAAGATGAGATTCTTGCACTCTCAAGGATTGTCAGACTTGGAGGTGGCAGCCTAGAGATGAATTGGGGGGAAAAAACACTCCAGAAATTTCTGTGTTGATGTGTGATTCTGATCTGTTTGATGTATGATCAGTATGTGTGATACTGACTTCTGTTGGTTGCATCTGTTTGTATGTAATTCGAATTTAAGAATCTATGTGGGAATATTTTTCTCTTGGGGGTGGGGGGGGGGGGGGGGAATAAGTGAGAGAGGCATAAGTAGGACAGAAAAACAAAATTCTTGTTTTATAGCTTAAAAGACCAACATTTTCCTATAATAACGACATTTCCATTGTTCTGTTTGCTGATGAAAAGTACAGTTTTCGCTGAGTATCTTGAGAGCCCAGTTCCTATACCACATTTTAGTTAATCTCCACCACTACCTGGCACATAATAGTTGTGAAAACCTGTGTCTCTGCAGCTTTCGGACCAGTAAAAGTGTGGGTTACTCGGCTCATTTTGTTGGTGGATCATTGATCATCACATCCATGAAAGTGAAAGGCAAGGGGTTCCAGCACTGTGTCAAGTACGAGTTCCAGCCTAGACAGGTCAGGATATGTTTTGTGGGTGCTTGAGTGTGTATTTGCAATTATGTCTTTGTTGATTTGGTTCAGAAAGCAGTGGCAAACTACTGAATGTAAAATTTGCCTAGGGAAACCACAACAGCCAAAAAAATGCTAGAGTTGATTCTGCAATGTCCTACATAGGACACACAACCAACTTTTGTTGTTGTTGTTGGTTGGGGAGCAGATGGCCAAGTTGTTAGAGCACTGGGCTTTCATATAGCAGAACCAGGTTCAATCCCTCTGTTGTGTGCTAAATTGAGTCAGCACACTACCAAGTGTCTAGCAGGTACTCTTCAGCTTCCTTTCTTAACAAGACAACTCGACGACGATGACACCGTCATACAAGTTTATTTAACAGAATACATGACACAAATGCAGAGACGTAGTTATTGATCACAGCTGACATTCACACATCGTTCATTTGTCCTCACAAATGACCTCTCCTGGACTACTGCAGACACCAGGATGACGGCGTCCCACTCTCTGGACGCGTCGTACAGCTGAACAGGACGACTTATCCCATTTACTGGACCTTGATATTGATTCAGCATACAACACGGCTGACTGGAGACGGACTTCTCTTGCCGTACTCCGAAACCAGGCACTACTGGCCTTCCCGTCCCCTGGACTTACTCTGCCAGCGGGACCATATTTTCCATACCGCAATCCCGACACTTACTCAGACCTAAATGCCTGATAGTCGTACGATATTCTAGTCGGTTAGACTCCAATGACCGACAGGACGTCTACCATAAGTCCTCTCATACTCTTGACATGCACCGCAACCTCGACACTTACTCGGACCTAAATGCCCGATAGTCGTACGGTATGTTTGTCTGTTAGACTCGAGAGATTACCTGGACCCTGACTTGGTCTCTGACTCTCGCTCTCTCTCTTCTCGCTTCTCACTCTATCTTGACTGCCCCCGAGGGGCTTTAGCCCTCAGGCTACAGCTCACTCTCTGGACTGTCTACGCAGCCCAATTTATATATGTCGAATCCGTGTAAGTGGATGGTGATTACACGAGAGGCACGCTTGTGTGGGCGTTCTCGTGAATCATGATCCTGTGGGTGTTGTCGGGACTCGCTCATGTGAGCGTTCCCGAGGATCACGCTTAGGTGGGTGGCTGATGTTACCCGAGAATCACGCTGTCACTTAATTCACACTTTATCTCGTTATCCACGCTTTCAGCCCACCACACAGAAACCCACGCGTCCACTTTCTCTCGTGCATGCACGCTTTGTTCATGAATAGACGTTTTCACTGGTCTCCTCTTAATACTCTGATCATATTGACACTCTTTCCTCGTGAACTTACAGGCAGTACAGTCATACCATTGCCCCTTCCCACAATATCACACTTAACCCCAAATCAGCGCGCAACACCATATCCTCCCCCTCTCCCAACTGACAACTAACTGAAATTAAGTTGTCAGTTGTAGAGTTAGAACAAATCCTTGTTGCGAGCTGATATTACCATTATAATAATCATTGGACATGTGAAATCATAACATATAACCTTTCTGTAGTCAACTAAAGTATCATTGTATATCTCAATACAGCAAACACATGGCTATTAATATCTAATTATAACAACTATATCATGTTTGATACAGTGTAAAGCGGCCTTCATACAGGTAGTGGGCACACTTGAACATTGTGTTGTAAACCATCACAGCTCTCCTTTTCTCGATGTTGTATTCTGTCTCTTGCTGGTGTTAATCTTCTGCAGGCATACATGACTTGGATGCAATTGACTTTCAGTTATATGGAAGTACACCGCTCAGAACGACGTCACACACGTCCCATGCCACATGGAAAAAAAACATTCTATTAGGCAACGTAAAATGGTATACAAGCGAATCATTTTTGTAAATCGCGTAATGTTATTGCATAATGCTCTGCCCATTTCGTTATGTTTGGTATGCCTTTCCTACAAACGCAGACAGCAATTGTTGCAAAATGTGGTATGAATGTTGAGTACCCAGTTTTTAAACATAATTCTTACTTTCTTCTTCATTCTGGAAACTGGAATTTAACAATCTCTACATTTCTAGATACTGGTTTTTTTCACCATTTCCCTATAATATCCCATTACATTTCAAAGATGGTAAAATAGATATTGCAGTCAATTCAATCAATCTTACATGATTACACGATGATGATAACAATGAACTTGGTGATTATGGACGATTGTCCCTCTATTGCTCCTCTTATACATTATAATATGCTACCAAGGCTGTGTCACATGAAAGATAACACATCACCTCGACTTGGCGTGAGTCCACAACATTCGCTTTCGGCCTACGGCCCCTCCTAGGGTCACCGATAGCCTTCTTATAACTCTCGCGTTGTCACTCAGGACAGATTCTTCTTCTTGGTTACGTGCCCTTCCTTTGGGTCACTGTAACATATACACGATAACTGATGAGACTTGGCCCCAGGCAACAGAGTCTCTCGGCCCACAGCCGAATTATCATCACGAGGCACTGCATTATCCTCGTCCTCGTAATTCCGCCACGCTTGACTCTTGTCGAATCTTGTGGCTAATAACATGTTGGGTACTCTCCGCCTTATCCCCACACAATTCGCATAACGTGAGCATTTCGACTAATGCACCAAATTCACTTCCTTGATAAGCTACTAAATGTAATCTGTGTTTTCCATGTTAATAGATTAATCAAAAAACTATACACAACTGTACTTCTTCAATCTTTCAATGTCATAATGTAACTCACTTTCTGGTTTTAAAACAGGTAATTTTGGTTCATACTTTTACCACCTCTTCACTTGAGTGGTTTGAACCCTGTCCTTTCTTTAGCGACTCACCTCGCTAATTCTTTTGTCTCTTTTTCTGTAATGGCCAACTCTGCCATATCTTTTTGATGAGCTTTTTCCGCAGCTCTCTTATCTCTAGTCGCTTCTTCATTTTCTGCTTGTCTTGCAGCTTTTTGTTTTTCTGTTACCTCTTTCATCCTAAATTCTGCAAAGCTTAGGATCTCTTCAGGCTTAAGTTCTAACTCCTCAGCTATGCTGACAAACTCAGCAAAGGACATTTTGACTGTTACTTATGTCAGTGTGATGGACACCAATAAAAGACAGTACACGACGTTACGATAACAGTGCTAACTTTTACGAAACCAAGACAACGAGAAAACAAGCTATGTATGATGGTACACTTAAGAAAATGGACCGAAAGCACCAAGGATTAACACAACCGATAACAAACCGTACGTACAGGACTATTAACGCTACCTGACGCAGACAACTAGGTATTCCGGTCTATAAACTAATAGACAGAAATAACTAAAAAGACAGCTCCTAAATTATGCAACCTACAAAATGTTACCTAAT